ATAATAATTATATTTATATATATATATATAAATATATATATAATTATATATATTTTAAATTAACATTGCTCTGGAAAGATGAAAAAAATATTTAATATATTCTGTAATTGATCAATTTTCTATAATTTTTCATTTAAACTATATAAATCGTATAATACAAAGATCATAACTATTAAAATAAAAATTATTATCTTATATAATAGTTAAATAATGTTTTTATTTAATAGTTAAAATTTCAAATGGCTTGAACGAAAAATTCAAAATAAAACATGCGATTTACGCGGCATGTTAATAAGAATCAAATTTATTATTGGTTTTTTAAATTTTCTTTTTAGTTTTTTAGTAAACAATTTATTCTAAAGTGATATATGCAACGAAGAATTTTGTTTTTTCAAAAATAATTTCAATTCAAAAATATATTCTACAAATTGTGAATTATATATATATAAAATTTTTAATTTTTTGTTCACGATAGCATTTTAAGAATTAAATATATTAAAAAAATATTGCATGAAATACAAAAATTTAATATGTAATTATATATATATATAGAGGATATTCTGTTTTAATCTTCAGATACAATTATTTCTTTAATTATAAGTCATTTTAAAAAATGAAATTTAAATAGAATTTATAATTATAAAGCGAAATACTTTATAACGGTCATATAGTTAAATCTTTTATATGTGAAATACGTTTTCGAGATTTGAAGATTATTTTTGTTCTTTTTTTTTAGTAGAATTAATTCAGTATTGCAAATTATTCGACTCGTTTTGTTGACTATATTATTAATTTGTATTATATAATTTGAATATAATTATTTGCGGAAATTCGTTTTTTCTTTAAAATTGATTTTAAATTTTTAATAAAAAAGTAAGGTTAAGTATGTTTGATACACTTATCGAAAGAAATGATTATCATTACTATATTCATTCTATATAAATATATTCATAGATAGTTTAATTAATAAATTATTATTAATAATGTCAATTTGTATTATTATTCATATCGATTAGTTTTTTTCTTTTTTCATTTTAATGTACTTGAAATGTGTATAGAATATCATTTTAAACAAATTTATCTTTTATAAATAACCAATTTTCGAATTATTCGCAAAAAATTTTTGAAAACTGTTACATTGTACATTGAAGGAAAAAAATATAAATTTTTTTAAAATTGTATTGACTTAAAATTGAATTTTTTTGGAATATTAGAAAGATTAGTTTAATAAATAATGTGTAAAAAAATTTTTTTTAAATTTTTGATTTAATCATTGTAATAATCATTATTGACGTAATCATTGATAATAAAATTAAAAAAAGATCATGATTTTAAAGACTTTTTTGTCTGAACTTATAATAAAAATTTAAAACATATTTTTTGTAAATCTAAATAAACTATGTACAAGGTGATTGGCCAATGTTTTTTGTTGATAACTCGTTAACAAAGCCTTAAAAACTATAAAGAAAAATATTGCTTGAAATTATCTAAAGAATCTCCAATTTATGGATGTTTCAACATTTTTGGGATAGCCTATATATACACAAAATTTCATTGAAATCAATTGATACATAAAAAAAGCTATAAATATTAAAAAATGTAAAAATTGATTATTAAAATTTTTGAAAATCGTGAAAAATTGTAAATTTATTTTTTATTGTGTACAGTTCATAGCAACTTCTTTTTAACATCTTTTCCTTTTAATATAGTAAATATTAAAAGGAAAATATTCAAATAGTTTTTCCAATTTAAAAAAAAAATCATTTCGTTTTAAACATGAATATCTTTTTCTCATTATATATGAATGAAAATCTATTTTCATTTCTATTATTTATTTATGAATTTAAAAAGAATTTTTTTTGAGACTTAGTGATTATAATTTCGGTCGCTTGTTGTTTTTTATTTTATTTTCTCATTCTGCGGAATGCTCATTATGAATAGATAATTAAATATAACTATATATATATATATAGAATGAATATAATAATAAAGTAGTCACTTATTTCCGCATCAATCATAAATGTTATTGATTCGTAAATATGTCAAAATATACTTAACTTTACATTTTTATTAAAAATTATTATAAAAAAATAAATCACAAATTTAACATGTTAATTCTGAACATGTCATTCTGAAATAAGATTTAACCATATTCTTTTTTGAAATAAGTTTAAATAAATCTTATTTTTCAATTTTTGCTAAGTAATTTGTGAAATAAAAGAATATCAAAAATATCAAGAATATTTTATTTTTCAATTTCAAAAGAAAAAACACAAAAACAAAGTAATTTATCAAATAAGATAAATAAATATGGTGTATAACAAACATAATTGTATTGTATGGATAGATACAGAAGTATGCATCTAATACTTCCATTATAATTAATATTGATATTTATGACATAAATCATACTTTTTTAATATATACTTATAATTTTATATATATATTTATATTAATTATTATATATTATAATATTAATTTATATATATATATTTAATTTTATATATATTTATTATATATAATTAAATTATTTGTTTCAGTTAACTGGACTTCAAGTAGAAACAGATACAATTTTAGAAATTGCTTGTTTAATAACTGATGAAGATTTAAATATAGTGAGTGAAGAATTTAATATTGTAATTAATCAACCAGATGTAGTTTTAGAACATATGAATGAATGGTGTATGAATTTTCATACGAAAGTAAGTTTAATAAAAATATTTTTTTTATTTTAATAATTAATTTAAATTTACATTTTATTTTAAGAGCAATATTTTTTCAGTCAGGTTTGATACAAGAATCAAAATATAGTAAAATTACTTTAAAAGATGCAGAAGAAATGTTGCTTAATTTCTTGAAAAAATATATTCCTCCTCAAACTTGTCCTCTAGCTGGTAATACAATTTATATGGATCGTTTATTTTTACTTAAATTTATGCCATTAGTCAATGATTATTTACATTATAGAATTATTGATGTTAGTACAATTAAAGAATTAGTCAGGTATTTACATTTATATTGTTTATACTTGTATATATTTCAATATATGAAATGTATGTATTTATTTTTAAAATTTTATTTTAGAAGATGGAATTTAAATAAAAGTGAATGTATACCAAAAAAATGTTTACATCATAGAGCTCTACCTGATATTAAAGAAAGTATAGAAGAATTAAAATATTATAAAAAAAATATATTTATGTCTTCTATATAATGTAGTAAATAATTTTTTGTCTAATTAAATTTTTGTCTCCTATAAATAAACTTTATTATTTTAAAATTTTTGTCTATGATTATTTTTAAATAATTTTTGTAGTAAGTGCATAAAAATTTACATTACTCAATTGTATATGTATAAGTATTTAAATTTCAATTGAAAGTAATTTTATATATCATATCATATATTATATTATAATTTTAATATCATAAAAAATCTGAATCATTTTGAATATGATAGAATATTTGAAATATTTATTAAAAGTATTTGATATGTATTTATTATATATTAATATTAGATTTAAAATTTAATATGTTTACAAAATTTTAGTAAAAGTCTTATCTTGATAAGACTTAAAAACTTATAGGAACTCAAATTTAAAATTATTATGATATTTATA